TTTTGTTATATTATTGTAATATATATAATATTAAAAAAACAAAAAAATCAAAAATAGAATATATATAATATATATTATGATATAGTATACGTATAGATATATATATATGTTATGGTATATATTATGAAGAATTAGTGTTATTGTGGTGTTTGTATTATAATATAATAATATATATGTTAATATATTGTTTATTTATATATATGATTAGCTTATAGATCGTTATTGAGGATTCATGCTGCAGTGAGTACTTGAGTGCTAGTATATTTGCTATATACTGTAAAGTATATTTTATTATTATATTATATAGCTATATGTGTATATATATATATATATGATTATATATTTGTTGTATTATTAAATATGTGTGTGTAGATCATTGTAAGAAGTATGAAAGGGAGTGTGCTTATAAAGAAGAGAAAAAAGGCAGGCGTACTGAAAGAAATAGAAAATTGGATGTAAGGAAGGAAATTGTAATATAGTAAAAGTGGATGAGAAGTGTATTGGGGTAAAAAAGTTTTTGATTAAGGGAGAGGAGAGAGTATTGAGGGGGGACGGGCAGTGACGGAGGAGGGGGGGGGGGAGGGGAGGGGGCGGGGAGATGTGAGAAGGTGAGAAAAGAAGAGTGACTAGTTATTGTATTGTGTGTTGTGTGTGTTGTTCATTTTTTTTATTTGGTTTATGATTGTGAGGATTTATATAATATAAAGGGATAAGAGAACGAGTAAAAAATATTAAGTTACTAAAGATAAATAGAGATCAAAAAAATAAAAGTAGAAATGCATGGATCATATATATTAGTTATTCAAAGTACTAGTTGTGATTAAATGTTTGAAGCTTTAATTATAGGAATTAAGTAAAATAAAAAAAAATGGGAATGGAAAAGAAGACTAAATCTTGACAGAAAAATAAAAAGAAAGGTGAACAAAAAAAAGTGATATACTGTAATAAAGTAGTGTAAAAACGGGAGAATAGAAAAGTAACATGATGAAGAATAATGTAAGAAAAAAAATAAGGACAAAAAAAAGGTATTTTAGTTGTTTGTAAGAAATTTA